CCATTTTCTTAGAACAAAAACAAAAACAAAAAAACAAGTTGGATGGAGTGACGTTTACATAGAAGAAAATGGCCGAACTGCATGTGCATGTCAGTAGATCTGTCATATTTGAATGTCCGTGTAACTACAGCTACACATAATATGGAGATCATTCGTCACTTTGTTAAGATCGTCACAGTTTCCCCCACACCTGTGTCTACATACTCTACCCCTAAAGTGACTCCAAAACTGATTCTGTCCTGGGGGTGCCTTGTCCCACAAAGTAGCTCCCTTTCTTGAGATCTACAATATGAGTTCCCACTCAGGCTTTTACTGTTCAGGTGTGGGTAAGACCCAGCCCCTGTGTTCTGTGTAGTCCCACATGACGCCTTACTTGACTCGAGGTGAACAGAGAGCTTCTTTTCTGCCTCCCTGGAGGAAGAGTGGTGACCTGGGACCCTTTGAAAGTTTGTTTCTAACCTTTCTAAGCTTTATATAAACACTGTTGAAATGAGTGCCCTTCCATATCCATCTTTGGGAATACCATTTTCTTGGGACAGTGAAACTTCTGAGTTACAAACATTTAAAGCGGTAAATTCTTAGTCTGTGTTGCCCCCCTATTGTCCAGCAAGATCAAACCAGCTCAACATTCTCGGCTTCAAGACAGCAGATATTCCTAAACACATCACCAGTTGCAAGTTAATGTTTTTCTTTTTACTTTCCTGTAAAGGTGTCTCGGTGCCGTTATTTTCATTGGCACATCTTTTGGCTGCTCCCAAGGTTGACAGTTTTGCTTCTGTTTCCTGGGGTGGTCGAGACACAGTTATAAAGACTGTACATGCTCTTGCTCTTCGTAATCCATATCCAGTCTGGCAGAAGAATTACTTTATGCCTACTAATAAGGATTGGTTAATAGTAAAATAAGGAACAATTGAGAAAAATTCCAAATTGGTTTTCTTCTGTTTCTGTTTCATGCAACATGTCTAGGATAGGTGGCACTGGGGCCTTTCTCTTGCAGGATGAACAGTCCCTGCAGACCATCAGGGCTGACGTATCACTGTTGCCATTGTCTCTCTTTCCGTTTCCAGGGTGTCAGTGCCCGAGTCATGGGCCAAGTTTACAGATGACAATATTCTCCGCTCCCAGAGTGAGAGGGCAGCCTCCAGGAAGCTGAGAGATGACACTGAGAACCTTCTGGTGGTGACAGCCAATGAGATGTGGAATCAGTTCAACAAAGTGAACTTGGCTTTCACCAATCGCATTGCAGAGACTGCAGACGCAAAGAATAAGATCCACATTCACTTATCAAAGGTAAGGACCTAGCTTAGTCTTGGAACTATAAACAGGGCTGGGGCGGGGATGGGGTTCAGAGGTAAAGAGGTTGCTTGGCACATGCAAGGCTTGTGACTGCACCGCAGGACTGGGAAATAAAATGAAAAACCAAATCAATCATTTGCTCCCCATCATTGCCATGGGCAAGGCAGGGCACTCTGAGACCACAAATCTCTCACCACCTCCAGAAAAGCACCATAAGTTGCACCGCTTCCTGGCCATCCAGACTGAGGAAAATTAAAAGCAGTACAAAGCATGCCATTTATTTCAGTCTGTAGTCAGGTGTCAAAATGAAGCGGGGACTCACCGGGCTTTGGAACACAAAGAATGCACTATACAGGGAAAGACTCTTAGTATTTGAATGGAAACAAAAATATTATCCTAAAGTTTAATGAATCACTGTATATAACCGGGAAGTGAATTTAGCAGACCATATGGTGCGGAGGGAGTTCGCTTGGGTCAGTCGTCTCAGATCCCTTTTCTGGATGACAGGGCCAAGTACAGGAAGCAGAGAGGTAGTGTTGGGTATTCCTGAGTTTGTGAGGTGCTCTGTGCACGAGTATAGGAACTTTACAAAGACAATGAAACAAAAGGTTGATGCAGAAGTCACACTCCAAGACAAACAAGGGCGGCTGCCTCTTCTCTCAACTACTATGGAATGTGTTTCTCATCATTTGTCACTATTCTTCTTTTAAAAATACTTACTTTTATTTTCTACACATTTTATATATGAGTATTTTGCCTGCATGTGAATGCAGTGATAATAGAAGCCAGAAAAGGGCGTCAGATACCTTCTAGGACTGGGGTTACAGGCTGTGAGCTGCTACGGGGATGCTGGGAATTGAACCTGGGTCCTCTGGAAGAGCAGCCCAAGCTCTTAACCTCCGAGTTATCTCTCCAGCCTGTCTTCCTGTTTAAAGATCTTGTACTGTTGCTCTAAGGTAGTATTTCACAATGAAGGGCACCACGTTTCCCCAGGCAGCAGCAATTTCCCTTTTCTTCTCATGATGTCTGACTTAAGCAGTAAGCAACAGTTGAGCCAGGTGGTGTGCTACTCTGTGAAAGGCAGGGAAAAGTATGAAATGTGGTTTTTGTTCCAGAGCAGATAGCAATAACAGTAGGAGATCATGCGCTATGATTGCCCATGACAAATTTGTATTTAGGGGTTACAAGGAGAAGAGTGTTCCAATGGTGCAACCCCTCAACCAGAGCCCAGGAGGCAGTGACTAAGAGGCCGAGTTCAGGGCTAAAGAGGCTGGTGAGACTGGTGTGGATGGTGTGCCCTAGGAGGGAAGCTTGGGAAGAGGGCTGTAGCCACACTGCAGAAGTTGCTGGGGTGGGGGATGGGGGTAGTGAGTAGGAAGGTGGTGGTCAGGGCAGTAGGGCTTCATCATGAAAGCCCTTAGAAAGGTGTTGTGACAGAGTTCCTTTGCTCATTGGTGGATTGGTGGTGGGCTTTTGTTTGTTTGTTTGTTTGTTTGTTTGTTTGGCTTATTGTTTTTAACCACCTTGTAAGTTTGCCAGGGCTGTGGCCACATAAAGTGTTCACTGTCTGAGTGGCTAGAAGTCTGAGTTCCAGATGCCACAAGGTTGCTTGTTCTGAGGCCCCCTTCCTTATATTCTCTTATAGCTTCTTCTCTGGATGCAACTGTGTCACATGTGTGTATCTGTGTCTGTATTAGTCAGGGTTCTCTAGAAGGACAGAACTTAGAGAATGAATCCCTCTCGGTACACACACACACACACACACACACACACACACACACACACACACACACACACACAGCACACTGCTGTGTTCTAGCTAGTCCAACAGTGGCTGTCTCTGAAAGGAAGGTTCAGAATCCAGTAGTTTTTCAGTCCAAAGGCTGGATGTCTCTGCTGATTTTCAGTATATGCCAGAATCCCAAAGAAGGAGGCTCTAATGCTAGTGAAGGAATGGACTGAAGGCAAGCAGGCAAACGGAACAAGCTTCCTTCTTCCATGTCCTTTATACAGGCTACCAGCAGAAGGTGTGGCCCACATTATAGGTGGATCTTCCCACCTCAAAAGATAGGGATTAAAAGTGGAGCTTCCTGCTTCAAATAATTTAATAATAGTAAAAAAGCCCCTTACAGGTGTGCCTAACTATTTGGGTTTTAGTTAATTTCAGATGTAGTCAAGTTGACAACCAGGAATAGCCATTACAGTTTCCAAGATTCCTCCATTTATAAGACTTGGACCCACTCTCTTGACTTCATTTTAACCTGACCTCTACAGAGACTCAATCTCCCAATATGGTCACATTCTGGGGTCCTGATGATGGAAACCTCAAGATATGAACATTTAGGGGAAGGACACACAATTCAACCCAAAATAGGTATATTCTAATTTCCACTTAGGCATGTTGGGATGTTGACACATGGATGGCACGCTGATCCTGCTGTCTCATGTCTTAGGGAGACAACACACACACACACACACACACACACACACACACACACACACACACACACACGAGAGAAAATGGGTAGTCTGTTGGGAAGGCACAGAAACAACCACTTGGAACCAGACAGATGTTTAGCAGAAGAAAGCATTGTCTCTTGTGGCAATCAGGAATGGCTATTTTTGACAGGTTGGTAAAAGCATGGGAGAGGGCTTAAAGCCTGAGTGGCAAATTCAGGAGTACCTGGGTTACATGGATATTAAATAAGTGTGGTTTTGCAAGGTCTATGGAAGAGATAGAGGATGTAATAGCAAATTTGCCCAGGATAAACCTTTGGCAGTGGGATGAAGAACAGTTAGAAAGCCAGGAATTTGGCTGGCAGCTGACTAAGAGAACAAGTTGAGGTAGGGTTTCAGCGAGTGGGAAGGATCCAAGAGGCTCTGATGTTGACCTTGAGAGGCATTTTCATAAGAGCAGTAAGTACTAGAGACAGAATTCAGGAACCTCTGGAATACAGAGTAGGTGGGAGGCAGAGGGAATGGGCAGGGAACACGGGTTTGGAGAAGACCCCACTGGAATTAGATGGGATCATGGCAGAAAAGATAGCAGGTTTGGAAAATGCTCTGGTTATTAACCAAGCTGTCTCCAGGCCATAGGAAAGGGGCCATACAAAAAAACCCGAAATGGAGAGGATTTGGAACTGTGGAGCGGTGGAGACGCGGGTCATAGAAGGTGGGTGTTCCGAGCACAAGAGGAGGAGAATGCGGAACGAACAAGGTTCTCAGTGAATCTGCTTCCTCCTCCCAGAGGTCGAGGAGGCCCATGGGACAGAGGTGGAGGAGGCCCATGGGACAGAGGTGGCAGTGTCACAGGTTGTTCAGGGACCAGCAACAGGATGTCAGCAGTTGCTTCTCATTGCCACAGACCCTGCAGGAGATCTTCCAGACTGAAATGTCCATAGAATCCATCAGAAAGGCCATCAAGGAAAAGTCTGCCTTCCTAAAGGTGGCTCAGACCCGGCTGGATGAGCGGACAAGAAGACCGAACATAGAGCTGTGCAGGGACATGGCTCAGTT